GGTAAGTTGGCTTTTGGAACATATTATGCCCTCTAGTGTTTTTGAACAGTATAAAATAATTCCAGTGGTATTTTACAGCAACAAACAGCCAACAGTACAGTAATTAACAATTGTTGAGTTGGAGTACTATGCTGAACATATATCAGATATAGAATCACTAGAATCCAATCCATATGCTTCCAGTAATGATTAGAGAGATCCAGATTTTGAATATAATTAAGTATTATAATTAGAACCAAATACAGTGGAACCTCAATTATCCGTCTCTCTATTAACAGTCACCTCTCAGGGTCCATACATAAGTTATATTGACAACAACATAAGTAAAAATTTAGTCATCAATTCATTTTGTTTGCATAAAAATTTCCACCAAAGACGATTCTCATTTTGGACAATATACCTGCCCATCCTAAAGCCGGTATGCTGCGAAGTGACGATAAAAATATCACACATACTCTTTTCTGCCTGCGAGTACATCATTGATACAACCAATGGATCATTTAGTCATTAACACATTCAAAAGATACAGGAAAAAATGGTTCAAACCCTAGTTATGGAAGAGTAATATTCTTTGCCAGAATGCTGGAAAGCATACAATTTAAAACACACAGTCGAGAATGCTGTGGCTGCTTGGGCTAATGTTTTGGAAGTAACGCTGAGAAGAGCCTGAAATAAATTATGGTCCTGAAGTCAACTTAAGATGACATAAACGAATGGTTAATTTGTGTTGAGGACGCAAACAGCTATCGATTACTGACAGACGATGAAATCGTTGAAATGAAACAGAGGCGTACAAAACTGATGTTGCTAGTACAACTCACAAAGATTTGTGTAAAGAAGCTAGAGGAGCTGCATCGCACATACAACAATTCATCAAGTGGTATTCTCGACAAGAAGAAGCAAATAAGGTAGATTTAATGATAACTATAGTAATGGCGAATGGATTTAGTGGCTGCAGTCAGTTAAAAACAAACAAACAACAACAACAACTATAGCAAAAATAACAGCGGAGAGACAATTCAATGGACTGATATTGTGGGTGCATATTGTTCAAGTAGAAAAATCAGCTCCCTACACAAATTTTATACAGATCATTTTTTGAGAATGAATTCAAAAGTATAAATGTTGATCAGAGAACAAGAGGACTGCAAGCAAACATTAAGCTAAATCCTGCTTATAGCTATCATGTATTTCACCTTTAACCCTTTAACGTCGGGAACCGCATATACGCGCAAAAGTTTTCTTGCCCCAGATACGGGAGACGCATATATTCACTTACATCAAAATGTACTTTAGATCGGGAAACGTTCGTAATCGCTTTTATATTTGCGTATTGTATACTATTTCTAACATGTTATCGCTTATTGAATTTCACAGAGCTGCGATGAACTGCGTGGGAGCTGGAGTAAAGTCAGCACATTTGGAAAAAATGTTTAGTCATTTGTTGACGACGGTGGTACGTGCTGAATTTGCTTTTCAATCACATTACCTTTATTAAGTATTTTGAATTATATAAATAATTTTTTTTTTAAATGGATTCGAAAAAAAGATATCTGACTAAAGAAGAGTTGGAGAAGCTTTTGGAAGAGTCGGATAATGATAAGGAGTTTAGTTTTGAAGCAGAAAGTGACTCAGAGGGGGATTTCTCTGAAAACGAGAATGAAGTAGACGAACAAATATTAACTGATGTATCAGATACAGAACTAGACCTGGAAGTAGAAAATATAGTACCGGGGTGTTCCACTGATACTGATGAACTTGGTAAGTTCTAATAAATATATAGTAAAAATTAGTTTTATTATAATTTTATATGTAGAACAATTTGACTTATTTTTATATCATTTTTTTTTTAATTTTAGCTCAATCAAGACGGAAAAAAATGAGATTAGTCGATGATGATGATACGATCCAGTGGCGGAAAGACGGTGATGTGTATAAACCAAAAACACATCCCTTTGGTAATGAACGTTCAGGGTGCTCAATTCAAAATGATAGCCTGAGTATTTTGGAATGTTTTCAACTGTTTTTCTCTGTAAATATCGTAACACTAATTACAGAACAAACAAATCTTTTCTGCTCCCAAAACGAAAATATTCAGAGAAGCCATACAAAACAATGGAGTGAAATAACTGTAAGTGAAATGTACTGTTTTATAGCTTTGTCAATTTTGATGGCGCAAGTAAAAAAACTACGGCTAATAGACTATTGGTCTAAAGACTCTTTGTTGTCGACACCAATATTTTCACAAATTTTTACGCGAGACCGTTATTTATTGATTCAACGAAATTTGCATTTTGTCGACAATAACGACGATACTAAAAAAAAACGATAAACTATATAAAATAAGATTAGTTGTATCTCATCTTCTGAAAGCATACAAAGATGTGTTTTACCCGTTTGAAAATTTATGCATTGATGAAAGTTTGATGTTGTTCAAAGGAAGACTAAGCTTCAAACAATACATACCTTCGAAAAGACATAGATTTGGGGTTAAATTTTTTGTTTTATGTGACTGTGAGACTGGATACATATTAAATTTTTATATATATTGTGGAGCTGGAAGTAATATACCAGAAGAGGCTAATAATGTCGGTAAATCCGGAAATGTTGTTCTTGCTCTCATGAAAGATTACCTAAATGCTGGCCATACTCTATATACCGATAACTGGTATACCAGTCCAAATTTGTATAGCTTACTGTGGTCAAAAAAGACAAATGCATGTGGCACTGTAAAGAGTAATAGAAAAAATATGCCTTCTATGACACAAAAACTAAATCGGGGCGAGATAGAAGTATTTACATCAAAAAATTTACTTGCGCTCAAATGGCAAGACAAACGCGAAGTTCGTATGTTGAGTACATTTCATAAACCAAATATTGTTGCTACGGAAAAAAAGGACCATGCTGACAATATTATATCAAAACCTCAGGTAGTAGTTGACTATAATAGTAACATGGGTGCTGTAGATCGTACAGACATGTTACTAAGTTCGATCGAGTCTGCACGAAAAACCATCAAGTGGTACAAAAAAGTCTTTTTTCGACTTCTTGATATGTCTATTCTAAATGCGCACGCTGTCTACAAAATGAAAACGTCATCTAAAATATCAATAGCCGATTTTCACCTTACATTGACACGACAAATTTTAGAAAAATTTCATATACCCAAGCCAAGGCAATCTACTAAAACTAAGGACCATCAAGATTCTCCTTTGCGACTCATTGAGAGGCACTTCCTATCACGTTTGGAAACGAATAATCAAAATAAGCAAACCAGAAAAAGATGTCTCGTTTGCAGTAAAAAAAAGTACGCAAAGAAACAATCTATTGTTGCCAACAGTGTGAGGTTCCTCTTTGTGTGGTACCTTGTTTTGAAAACTACCATACTAAAAAAATATACTGGGTCTAAACTTCTGTTATTCTAATATAAAATTATATTTTAGTTTTTTGAATTTTTTTTTGATTTGTATGCATTTTTATAAATAATTAATAAAACATTTATCTTCTGTACTTGTTTTTTTAATTTTACACTTACGAATTTATTCACAACAAAAGTCGGGAAACGCATATATGCGCGCAAGTGTTAAACGGGAAGCGCATTGAAGCGCAAGGCACGAAAACTCCCGTATCTGAGGCACGGCACGTTGAAAAACTGCCGTCGTGAAAGGGTTAAAGAAAAAAGACCTGATTTCTTTGTGCAATTCTGGGTCAATTCTAAGAACATATTAGGATTTTTATCACTGCCTTTCTGCAGCCTCCACAACGGTAGATGAAGAAAACATAATATCAGATTAATAAATATAGAACCATATATTTTTTTTGTTTTATTTAAACAAATCTCATAAGTAATTTGAACTTTCAATGAAATATGAAAAATCTTTATTTCCAAATTGTAATAACTAGACAAATATGTTCAAATTACTTATTATATATGTATATATTTCTTTTTAAATAACATCATAGTTTAGCTTGTATCTTTTAAAAACATTAATGAAATATGTCGTTTGTTATTATATTCACAAAATAATGACACAAACATGTTGGAGAATAGATTTTCCCTGTTTTCTCGTCACTAATGATTTCTGACTTGTTACACTTTGGAACTGGTGTAGAGATATATATTATATTACCTTCCTCAATTGATAATGAACGAATCTCTTTCGATTTGTAAAATCACTCTACTGTTTTTTAAACATCTTTCATCACTTTATGTGCTTAACATTTTCCTCTTTACATCACCGGTTGCGTTAAAACTATTGGGTTAAAAATATTTTTGCAAAAAACATATTTTATTGTACTCACTTGTATTTAAAACCAGTCTTCATAAAAACTGATTTAGTAATCTACTATTTCTTAAGTTAGATGTCTTGTAAAGTGTCTTTGTTACATTTCAAATGTAATTATTGATTACCCATCATCAAAAGGAGATTCACTCATACAGTCCAAAAAAATTCCTTATGAAATTGTGATGATTAATTCTTAATTGGTAATCAATACTAAAATATATTTAAATGCCATTTTCTGCAAGATATTCTGTTCAACTGTGTTGTTGTTATAGCATTCTACAGGGCGGTTCAGTCACTAAAGTTTAACAAGAATAAGAATAACAGAGATGATTAGAACAGTGATAAAGCTACTAAAAGAAGCTGACAATGAAAAATAAGATTAAGATAGTGATACTTTCACCACATTTTCTACAATTTATAAAAATAAAGCAATAAATCAGGTTCTTTAAGGAATTTATTAATTTAAAATAGTTCACATAATTTTTTATTCCAAATATGATTTATAAGTAACACTTTTCATTTAATATTTTATTTAGAGGTCAAAATTTATTATCATACTAAAAAACAAATTCAAATTTTGGGTAAACAACATAATTTAAATTTGGGTTATATACCACTGACTTTAATATTCCATTTCTATTTTCAGACCAATAGGAAACATTGAAAAACCAATAAAAATAATTGTTTACATTGAAACACGTTCTTATTACTTACCACAAGGTATATAGCCTTTCCGGAAGTCTTTGGAAGAATGTGGTGAATCAATTTTATCAGGAACAGTGGTCTGGTACCTTCTCTGGTCCCTCCAAACAACAAGTTTTGTAAAAACACTTAATATCGACTCTCTAAGGCTCAAATGCCTCCGATCACTTCCCACTACACTATTCTTAGATTTACTTATATCATTGTCAGTATTTTCCAGTCCTAATACTGACGCCTTCTGTTTTTGCTTGCACTTTTTTCTGGTGTGTTTTGAATGCCTTTTTGAGGTCTGTTGGTCACTATCGTCGTATACTTCGAAGACCTCTAGTTCATAATCCATTTCGACTTATATCTATTTAAATCATTTCGCAAATAGGAATATATTATGTTCCTGATGTATTAAAAATACACACATTTTGGACATTTTAAGTAGCTGCCTTCGAAAATGATTGATTGATTTAACTAGCTAACCTTAACTAATGCATTTTAGACATTCCTATTAGTGCTTTATATCACTTACACTTCACTACTGCATGATATTTGTTTAGAACTATAAATTCACACCACATATTCGATCAACTTTGGCTGAATGTGTCAATTTTTTTAATCGTTTTGTTTTGTCAGATTACGACAGAAAATAGTCTATGGCATACCGGTAATGAAGTAATTTTACCTGTCAAACCGACTGTCCGTTAGAATTTCCTGCTTTACCGCAACCGTGATTTACTCTAGCCATCGTTAGATGCCTCTGTCAACATTAGCCGTGAAATCGACGAAAAGGAATAGAAATATCAGCGGCGGAACAACATTTACCTTGTACAAGTTTCACATTTTATATTAAAATAAAAAAATACAAATTTTAACAAAAAAATTGGCTATTGTCAAGGTTATAACTAGGCTTTTAATTATATTAAATATATACACCAGTAAATTAATCTACTTGATATATAAATTGTAGTTTATCCTAAATCTTTCTCGTGAAGAAATAGTCCTTTACTTAAAAGAGAGTCTAGAGTCTACACAGAGTTTAGATTGCCTTTTATATCGAAAGTGGATGTTATAAGTTATAGAGAATGCTAGGCTGCTATTTTGATAATTTCCGGATTCGCAAGTTAAATTCGCTGGTAAAATAACTACAAGAAAAATCAATCACGACCGAAAAACGTGATAAATATGTAACTCATGCGGTCTATACATTTTAACAAGGACTTTAATAAACCCAATGGAAAGCAAATAATTGGTCAGAGATATACGTACAAAAAATCTGAGAACAATTTTAAAATAACTCAAAATAGACTCAAAATTATTTTTCTTATTAATTAATTTTCAATATTATAATTCTGTACCCCGGAGGTAAAGGGCACTATGTCCACTTTTATCAAAATTGGGATTATTGCACTTTTGAATATAATTTTTCTGGCTTTACACAGAGGTCAACCATACCTGTAACCAAACCAATATTTAGTATTGTATATTCGTTTAACTAACGGATCTGGCCGAAGATGATAATTTGTATGGAGATGATGATGCAGGTATTGATAAATCCTATAAGCCTCTAAGTGGTGAAAGCTCAGAATCAGACGACAATGATGTCAGACGTATAAGTAAATCAGAGAAAACAAAGGTAAAGGATAAAGCTATTATTATTTCTGCGACCAGTGGGACAATAAAAAAAATTGTCTTAAGGACGATTTATCCCTAAGCAGGGATGCAGGCAATTCCAATGAGCATAATGAAGTTACCATGAAATGCTCTGAAATATTGTCAGAATACGAAAGACAAAAATTCTTCAAATCACACTGGACAGAGACAAACGTTTCAGATGTTAAAAAGCAATTTATCTTGCCATGTATCGACATCCAACCTACTTTTCGATAGAAAAAGAGAGACTCAAACTCTACCAAATCTAAAATAATACATGACACTACAGTTTTACAGTGAACAATCAGCGACTGAATGTGTGCAAGGTTATTTTTTTAAACACACTTTGTATATCTAATTTAGTAGTAGTGAATATGTTTAAAAAATTGTGTCAGCAGGTTTAATAAAAACTGATCAAAGAGATAGACATACGCCTATCGATAAAACTCCTACCGAAACCATAAATAGTATACATCAACATATCAATTCCTTCCCAAAGTATGAGAGTCATTATTTCAGAGAAAGGAGAAAGAGAAATTATCTGGGCACAAAACTTACAATATAAAAGATATATCAACACTGTACATTGATGAATGCCATGAAAGACATGTGTATCCAAAGCTAAGAGCAAATGAGTGGTTCTACGCAGATATTTTTATTAAATACTTCAAGTTGTTGTTAAACCACCCGAGATAGACACTTGCGATACGTGCAGTACATTCACTGCTCAATTGAAAGTAATTTTACTGCAGATGAATTAATCAGTGTACAAGCTGATCATGATGCTCACCCAATTGAATCTAAAACTCGGTATAACTTAAAACAATTGTACTTTATAATGGCTAAAGAGTCACCAAAATACAAAGTACTATCTGCTGATTTGCAAAAATGTTTGCCTTCACCACTAACAAACAATTGTATAGTTTCTACAAAAGGAAGCTTTGGACGTTAAGTTTTGCATTATATGATGAATGATGAATTATTTTTTGTGAGTGGATCTGTATTCTATAATTCTTCGATATCGAAGTATACATGGGATAAAAAGAATGCAATATCGCAATAGTTAACAGTTATTGTACAAGGAGTTTCTTTCTAGGATATTATTTTCCTTTCTAGGATATTAATTTCCAATATGGGATGGTGGCACCACACTTCGCTATGTGTTATTCGTTATGCGCCATATTCGGCTTCATAAGGGCTGGAGCTACACATAATTTTCAAGGAAGGTGTGATATAGAAGTGTTTATAACTTATAAAAAAATAAAACAGTAGGGAGTTTAAAGCACAAATCCCGAGAATTTGTTAATATGTTAAGATTTCTTAAGGGCACTACTTAATATATGTAAGACATTAAAGCACCAGGCCCAGGCAAAAAACTTTCATCAACAGCTATCAAGACTGTTCCAAAGCTGTCTTAATGGGAACAAACTTCCGAAAGAATGAAAATTGTCACACCTATTAACCATTCATAAAAAGGAAAGCAAAGAAAATTGTCACAACTATCGAGGAATTGCAGTATCAAATACGATCATCAGAATATATGGTAAACTTTTAAAAAATAAGATCAAAGCAGAATATAGGGAGATGGAAGCGAAAAAACAAGAAGATTTTAGAACAGAAAGATCTACTATCGATCACTTTTTTACTATTATCTAAACAGTAGAAAATAAAAGAGCATGTAATCAAGAAATACACATTTATTGTCGATTTGAAGAAAGTCTATGATTGTGTAGCTCATACAAAACTGTGGGAAGTCCTAGAAAGTACGAGCATTAGTGTAACGCTAAAAAATTATGTGAAAGAGTTATACAGAAATACATCTAAAAGTGAAAACGACAAATGGTTTGTCAAATCAATTTAAGGTAATAAAGGTCTAAAATAGGGATGTTGCCTCATATCGGCTCTGTTTAAAATATACTTGGAACATGCTTTAAAACTCTGGAGGAGGAAATTTAAAAATAAGAGGAACTAGAATTTATTACCCACAAACTAGTTGAATATTACAAAATATGGGACCTGAATTTAAAAATATGAGGAACTAGAGTTTATTACCCACAAACTAGTTGTATAATACAAAATATGAGACCTGAAAGTACATATGAATAAAACTAAATATAAATATAGGTGTGTAGGAGAAGAAGAGAATATCTGATACTTAATGATGGATGAACGTATGAAAAATAACTAAACGTACAAATATTTAGACATAAAATTGACAGATGATGGGACTCTGGATAAAGTAATTAAAGAGAGAACTACGCAAGGCATAAAAACAATTAAAATGATGAACGGGGTTCTGTGGGACAAAAATATCTTAAAAGAAACAAAAGAATAATAAACCAGACCATCATATAAAATATTGTCACATATGGTTCTAAAGTTTGGCAACTAAAAATAAAAACAGAAAAATACTTCTAACCACGGAAATGGAGTTCTAGAAAAGGTCAGCGGGAAAATCATGTTGAGAAAGAGTTACCAATGAAGATATTCGCAGATTTATGAACGATGAAATGAAAACACAATGATTTGGGTACGTTACACATAAACGTACCGAAAAGGTAAGCCTTCGTCGAAACCACTTGGAACATTTTCTGTCCATAGGAAAATAATCCAATTGGTTGCAGTAGGACCTGTATTTATGTGGTGTTTTAAGTATAATTCCTAATGCTGAACTTTAATTTTAAAGCATGAATAAAATCCTTTAATAACGACAGGAAAAATTGCATAACAAAAATAAATTTAATTTGAAGCCTGCTTTAATTGCTAGTAAAAATATTGATTGTATTTATATTATATTATAATATCTATACTCACATCCCTGCTTTCGTGACGCTACTGAAGTTAGCATTTTAATTCCAGCTTCACAGCGTTGCCAAGCGAAAAAAATATCTATATATTTAAAGATTCTTAATTCATCGTTTTAAATGACCCACAATATATTACATTTTTCTATAATATATCTGAATATGGGCCAATGGTTTGCAATAATTTGGACAAATACGAAATTTTTATAATATAATCGATTATCACAATGTTTTATTAAATTTTCATTCTCCTTGGTTAAAAAGTTTGTTTGTTATTAAAAAAAGTCTACAATAAAGCAAAGTGCAATAATAACAGCCAAATTTCACCGGTTTCTGTTGCAGTACGGTCATATTACAGTTATTTCAATTCTAAAACACTACCTTAAATTTCTGGCGGCAAAATTAAATGGCCCTGGAGAAATATTAAAAATGTCCACTTGATTGTCATATTTAGCGATGCTGCTAAGTTTATCAGTCTCAATCCATTATCGCTATTTATGTTGTATAGGCTATGCCTTCCTATAGTGGAAATTAAAACACGATCTCGTCCTATTCTTGCATTCATATCACCTAACACAATCTTAGTATCATTTCTGAGACACCTTCTGGAGATTAATTACTATTTATAACTGGGAATAAGCCACAATTAAAGATAAAAATACGTTTATTGACGTTTCAATTTCCAATTCGGAAATCGTTCTCAAAATACAATTTTCGGGTTTGTATTTTGAGAACGATTTCCGAATTGGAAATTGAAACGTCAATAAACGTATTTTTATCTTTAATTGTGGCTTATTCCCAGTTATAAATAGTAATTAATTTACAATGCCACAAGAAAATAGCTTCAGAACAATACCTTCTGTAGACTTACTCTAGGTCTTCGAAGAACCATTTT